GATTCAATATCATGATCTCCTACAGACCTTGATCCAAGAATGTCAAACCGGATTCTCTCTCTCGTCTATAGTCCGTCAATCAACCCGAGACGCCTGAACCTGTCCTTCCTGCATCATGTACAGTTGGAGTGGTTACCTGGGAGATCACCGATCTGATTAACACCGCCCTGGCTACAGAACCCGACCCAGGTAACGGTCCAGCTAACCGAACTTATGTACCATCTTCTGTCAGGTCTCGCCTAATTCAATGGATGCATGCAGCCAAGTTTTCCGCCCATCCGGGGGTCAGTAGAACCGTCGCTTTAATTTCAAGATGCTTCTGGTGGCCAACTCTTCACAGAGATGTCAAGGAGTATGTGTTGGCCTGTTCCACCTGTGCAAGAAATAAAGCCTCACACCAGCCTCCCTCAGGTCTGCTACAGCCTCTTCCGGTTCCCTCGCGTCCATGGTCCCATATAGCTATCGACTTCGTCACTGGTCTCCCTGTCTCCCGAGGTATGTCCACAATCCTCATCCTCGTTGATCGATTCTCGAAATCTTGTCATCTCATCCCTCTCAGGAAACTTCCCACGGCCTTCCAAACTGCTCAGCTTTTGGTGAAACACGTTTTCCGTCTACATGGCATTCCCCAGGAGATCCTCTCTGACCGTGGCCCCCAGTTCATATCCCAAGTTTGGAAGGCATTCTGTTCTGCTCTCGACTGTAAGTCCTCTCTAACATCCGGTTATCACCCACAGTCCAACGGCCAAACTGAGAGGATGAACCAACAGCTAGAGTCAACCCTCCGTTGTCTGACATCAAACATCCCCACCGACTGAAGCCAATACCTAACAGAACCAGTCATTCCCTCCGTGCTTGTCACAATAAACTCTGTTTGCTTGCGGGATTGGCACCTGGCGCTATTGTCATACCAGGTCTGTTGCTGCTGCTGAACCTTCTGCAGGTTCCTCTTCACCAGCTTGGTTGTCTTCTCCATCTTCTCTCTAATTTTTAAGACGTAGCTGATGATGTTGACTGACTGGTCCTTCTTGCCAACCCAGGTCTCTTGAAAAACATTCAGCCCCATAGCCACTTATCCACTGGCCATAAAGAAGTTCAAATGAATGCCTGGCAAACTTTATAATAAGCAAACAAAAGATAAGGTAACCACTTATCCCAGTCTTTGCTATGGACAGAAATAAACTTCTTAAACATACTCTTCAATGTCCTGTTATACCTTTCAACCAACCCATCTGTCTGTGGGTGGTACAGGTTTATTGAAAAGATCAACTGGGGTTGCATTCAGGAAACTCAGTGTACTGGTGAACCGGAACTGGAAGTGGGAAGGGAAGTAGCAGAGTTTAGTTCTGTCAGGGCTCCTGTCTGTGTGTTTGTTTTTGTGTGTGTCTCCCTTCCACCAACAGGAGGTGCCTGGTTCTGTTCCGCCTCCTCACACACCTGCTGACGGCTACCTCGTTAACGGAGTGCTCTTAAGCTGCTGATTGCCACTACCTCGACACCAGAGTGTTTGCCAGTTTTTGGTACTCTAGCCAAGCTGAGTTTTTGCTGAGTAAGACTGAGTTCTTGTCTACCTGAGTTTTAACTTTGTTTTTTGTCTTTGCCTCTCGGCAGGAAGTCATCCTGCAAACTGGACCTTTTCGGCCCTCCACTCCCAGGAGGGATCAACAGAGCCTTAAACTGAGCCGGGGATTCAAACAGGAGGTTTGGATCCAGTCTCCTTGAGAGGACGTTAAAATTACTCTCTGAGCAAGGGAATCATCTTCACTACGACTCAGTCAAGTACAGCAGGAAATCTGAGTGACATTCAGCACCTCTGTTCACCTACACCGTCC